GGCTGGTTTCCGCAACTCCACGTCTATGCGTGTATTTTACGTGTGGGCAGGAATAATATGCTTATTCGAGCCATGAGATCTCCCCGAAGAAGCTCAACAGTCCTTTGATGTTGCATGCAACTTCGGGCAGTGACCTCGGCGTGCCGAGATGTTTAGCCCTGTACATAGCGACCTCTGGACATTTCAATATCACATGGGCCGCCATTTCTTCTTCTGCCAGACATGCCCTGCACAGGGGATTATCTGTAACACCTATAGTAAATAAATGCTTGTTAAAGTTGCCATGTCCTGTGATAGCACTTGTTATATCCTGGTCTGCGGCTTGTTCAGTCTCATTAGAACTTTGGTTAAACAACTGTTTATTTCAGGCAGGGCCTCCCTAGCTTGTCTACAGTCTATTAGATTTTTCCAAAGCTGAGCATGTAGATTAGTGAAGTGTCAAATATCTGGGTCTTAATTGTACTACATTCTCCTTCCATTCCTTCCATGCAACCCGCACTGCTGCATAGATTTTGTTCCTGGTGTCTGTTCTAGTACATATTACTTGAATGACTATTATTGTGATTTTCTATCAACAAATTAACATTTACCCTGGTTTGGTTCTTCAGCAAATTAAAACAGTTCTATCGGACTATTAAAATGAGAGAATAGAGTAGAAAGACTCATTATCATTATTTTATATGTGGTAGAGCCGGACTGCAGCTATATTATGGTTGTATCATGGATAGGTCGGCTCGACTGGGGTGGTACTACACTTTCACAGAATGTGTAGTACCACGCACCACCCTGTGTTTTGTTTCAATATCCTCCTACCACAAGCATTATCAGTTTACTTAGAGTGATAAGAGAAGTATTTGTAATGTTCTTAGTGATGATAGCAGTTTGAAGTTAATGTAGGTAATGTAGTTGATGGATGTAGGTGGTTTGGAACTGTAGGAGTTTCTTTCTGCCTAGATATTATCCTCTTACCATTTTCTGGCACCAAGCAGCAGTATGTGTCCCAGTCTGAAGGACATCGAGACCCAGGCTGTGATGCATTACATCTTAGTCTTCAGAGGTAACATTGCATCTATAGCCATTGCTTGAAGTTCGTTGCAGGTGCCCATGATGCCCATTAGTCACTTACTAGATGGTAAGTTTATTTGTCACTTCAATATTTTAAAAAATGATGTTGACAAATTAAAATATGATAGCCAATAATTTTTATTACAAATTTATATACACTTATGTATTTGAATACTATTTCTTATTTATGAAGATTTTCATATTTTCAGTTGGATGAGACTGAGGGGCCAATAATTGTCTGTTTCACCTGTCATGCAAGACTCATTCGTTGCAGAAGATTACAACAACAGGCTATTGAGTCAAATGTGGTTCTGGAGCAGTTGCTTTCAGGAGGATCCATGGTATTATCCATTCCATCCATTAAAACCTATAAAAGTCCACTGCTGAACATAGGTCTCACTCATAGATTGCTTCATAGGAGGGATTTTGCCAAACTTGCCACACTTGGCAAGTTGGCAACCGTAGTTTATATTAGTCTAAGTTGTCATCAGGAAGATGCGGCCGCCCTACCTCTGTTTCTGTTTCCTTCTGTTGCCTCTTACGACACCCATCCCGTGGATAGGTATATAGGATAGTGCAGGGGTCGGCAACCTGCGGCTCGCTAGCCACATACGGCTCTTTGGATGTGAAGCTGCGGCTCTAGTTTCATACGCAAATATTATTTATTTTATAAAAAAAATTATAAATCGATCCATACTGAGCCATTTGGGGTTGATACTGGATCTCTAGAAATGCAATTGATCGATTTAAAAAGTAAAGCTTTGTGGAGTTGAAAATTTACAGAGTTGATAAGGAAGTTGAAAAAGTTGGAGGTCCAGAAATGTATATACGTAATGCAACAAAAATGAACAGCTTTAAAAGAAAGGCTGCGAGTTGAGTTATATTCGACGCATGGAATAGTCTTCCAGATTGCTATAGTGAGGTGAAGAAGTTGGCATTTGGAGTGCTGACTATCTTCGGATCGACATATTCGTGTGAGCAAGCATTCTCTTGCATGAATATAATTAAAAGTAAAATTCAGATTCGTGTTTGAAACTTAAAACAACAAGTTATTTAAGCCAAATTTATCCAAACTTTCTAAAACCATGCAAAGCCAAAACTCCCATTGAATTTGTTTGCTCAATTGTTTGTACTTGAAGTATAAGTTAGTGTTGTAAGACTTACAATGTAAATAAATGTTTGTTTTAATTTGTTACTTAAATAATAAGTGATTATCTAATAATACCATATATATATATAAAAGGTTGCCAACCCTGTGATAGTGGATATTCTTACACCGTCACTGCACAATCCACTTTTCTATGCTGCTTCCCATTGCTATATGGGAGAATGTTTCTAGTGTTCAAAGTTAAGTTTGTCCTTCAATCCAACTTACTTTTGTTAGAGCAATAGTCCTTATTTTTACAAAAACAATTATCAAACTGTTTATACTGTTATATATTACCCTATTGTATATAAACAAATCTCAATAAACAAAGATAAATCTTTGTCAATTTACAGCTTTCGTGAATCTGAATCCAAAAGTTGTTGAGACACGATTCTCGGGATAGATGAACTATGTACATTCTTATTTAAGTTTATGCTGAACCCTCACTTTTGTCCAGTGTTTATTATTATTTGAAGTTGTTGTCAGGAAGATGCTGCCCCCCGATCTCCGGTTTCAGTTTCCCTCTGCCCCATTTTACGACATCTGCGGGATGGCAGGGGGTAGTATGGGTTCTCCTACTCCACCACTATAGTGGCTTTTTCTCTCATTTGAAAAAATTATTTCCTTTCAGTCAATACCAAAACCGCATAAGGTTAGAGGTGAGATTAAATTCACACCAATTTATCATATAGACATCTGGCCTGTAGAGTGTGATATAGACAATGATTGCAAGGACGAAAATTTTTGCCTTGATGCCGTTAAAGTTGAGGAGGAGATTTTCGAATATGAGAATTCCAAATTGGAAGTAAATGAGAATCATGAAACAGGTAAGATATACCCCTTTTTTGATATTACTAAAATAATGTACAATTTACCTTATGGCAAGTGGTTACTGTAGCCCGTAGACACAAAATAAAGAGGGCTTCATGTGTAATGTACTGATTTACTGATTTACCTTTGTCTAAATTCAAAGTGCATATCAAAAGCACTCTTATTAATACATTAAAAAAATATTTTTACCCTGTCAGCTAGTATGTATGTCACTAAGATACATACTGGTAAGCAACCAATTATCTTTGCCATCTTCTTAGCGTCAGTACTAGGTGGTGTGACTCCATGTTTGCCTAGGAGTTGATCTAATTGTGCCTGCCCAGACGGACTCCTCCCTCCTCCTCTTACCTATTTCTGCCGTCAAATAGCAGTGCATGCACTGCTGTGTTCCATTCTGATGGGTATAGAGTCAGAATAATCACAGGCTGTGGGTCATTCCATTTTAGTTGTGGTAGAGCCATGCTGCAGCTATATTAGTAGTATAGTTATAGCACGAATGGGTCGGCTCGACCGGGGAAGGACCATGCTCTCACAGAATACCAGTGTAAAATAGCAGCTTAACACTGCTGTGTTTCGTATGGTGATTGTAGAGAACTGGATTCCTTTTTTACTGGAAAAGAGGGATTCCATCGTAGTCCTCATGGGTGACAATGCATCTGCATTTTGATTCTTTATTGAGGACAGATGTAGATGTCTATGGGTCACAGCGACCATTTACCATCGTGTGGACTGTGTGCTCGTTTGTCACCCTATCCTATAAAAATTAAAATGAAAAGATGAGCGCATTGCATCATTAGATCTTCATCATTACAGCCTTCACAAGTCCACTGCTGAACATAGGTCTCACCCACGGAATGCCACAATGCACAGGAATCCATCGCGTTCCTGCATTTCTTATAACCAAGCATGTTTTCAAAAAGGTTCTAACAATAAATTAAAGTACCATCAGTTTTTTTAACGTAGTGTCAAAAATGTTTATTATTTAAAATGTTAATTATGTTTCTTTAAATCGTAGAAAATTTTCGTGAACTTAGTGTCTGTACAAAAATATGTCTGATGACACAGATACTGAGACTATGTTTTCTTAGATTTCTTATTCATTACTTAAATTAAAAAAAAAACGGACGTTAATTAAATTGGCAATTATTAGCAACTAACTGTAAAAATTTTAGTTTTATCACCAAAAACAAAAAGTATAGTCAGACTGTCTAAAATAATTATGACCTAAATGATCTTCTTCAATCAACAAGTCAATCTTCCAATCATTCTGTATAATGCTTGTCCCGTGTGCGATTCGAAGCATCTTTTATTAGATTAATGTAGGTAATTGTAACATGGTGAGAAGAACGTCATCATTATCATTCGAATTTAGTTTCTCTACCATTCTTTCCCTCCAAAAATGAATATGAGAGACATTATTAAAAGTAAAATACTTTATATCTAGCAACATTGTATAATTATGTAATTTTATAATTTATCTATTTCTCCCTGGTTGACTGATAGAGAATGAAGGTGTCTTACAATAAAAAGTTATACTTATAATAAATTAAATGTTCAATTCGTGTGTATTTCAGAACCATACATCATACCGACAAATCATTTTTCAAAAGCGTCTGAGAGCAAGATTAAATCTAATTCTACTGATTGTAACATAAACGATGTTCGTAAAGGAAACCTTGATTTAGAAAGGACACAAGTTGAACAAACTCCAGTACCACAACTAACGGAAATATTTCATTGTGATATTTGCGAATTTAAAACAACTCAAAAAGGTCGCATTTTGGCACATCTTAAAGCGCATGTTGCTGAACAAGTGTACTGTTGTAATAATTGTGATTATAAAAGTATTAAAAAAGATCATTTGCAGAGACATATGAAAATACATACTGGAGAAAAACCTTTTTCATGTAATATCTGTGAATATAAATGTATAGAAAAAAGTTATTTGCAAAGGCATATGAAAAAACATACTGGAGAAAAACCTTTTTCGTGTAATATCTGTGGATATAAATGTATTGATAAAAGTAATTTGTGGTATCATATGAAAATTCATACTGCAGAAAAACCTTTTTCGTGTCATATCTGTAAATATCAATGTATTCAAAAAAGTCAATTGCAATCACATATGAAAATACATACTGGAGAAAAACCTTTTTCATGTAATATCTGTGAATATAAATGTATTCAAAAAAGTGATTTGCAAAAGCATATGAAAATACATACTGGAGAAAAACCTTTTTCGTGTAATATCTGTGGATATAAATGTATTGATAAAAGTAATTTGTGGTATCATATGAAAATTCATACTGCAGAAAAACCTTTTTCGTGTGACATCTGTAAATATCAATGCATTCGAAAAAGTCAATTGCAATCACATATGAAAATACATACTGGAGAAAAACCTTTTTCATGTAATATCTGTGAATATCAATGTGTAGAAAAAAGGTATTTGCAAAAGCATATGAAAATACATACTGGAAAAAAACCTTTTTCATGTAATATCTGTGAATATAAATGTGTAGAAAAAAGTTATTTGCAAAAGCATATGAAAATACATACTGGAAAAAAACCTTTTTCATGTAATATCTGTGAATATAAATGTATAGAGAAAAGTAGTTTGCAAAGGCATATGAAAATACATACTGGAGAAAAACCTTTTTCATGTAATATCTGTGAATATAAATGTATTCAAAAAAGTGATTTGCAAACACACATGAAAATACATACTGGAGAAAAACCTTTTTCGTGTCATATCTGTAAATATCAATGCATTCGAAAAATTGATTTGCAAAGGCATATGAAAATACATACTGGAGAAAAACCTTTTTCGTGTCATATCTGTGAATATAAATGTATAGAGAAAAGTAGTTTGCAAAGGCATATGAAAACACACACTTGAGCAGAACCTTTTTTGTGAGAGATCTGGTAAAATATGTGCAATATTATGTAAACGTGTTTTATATAAATATAAAAGTATACTAGATAAAAATCCATTTGTCATGAGTTCCTTATGTAACTGTAGAACGAGTAGAAAAACCTTTCCGTGTCATATGTGCTAATTGAAACTGCATTTATTCTGAAGAAGCTAATTCAAAAACCAAAGAAGCAACCAAGTGAAATCTAACCTTGAAATATGTACCGAGTGGTTAGTGGAAACAGACCGGACCTTCATGTTTTTTTTAATTTTATTTAAATCATACTAGTTTGTTTTTATTTATTCGTTTCGACATTTATCGTTACCGTTACAGCCTATAAAAGTCCGCTGCTGAACATAGGCCTCCCCCACGGATTGACTCATGGGGGGATATTTGCCATAGTTGGCATGCAGGTGGGTTGGCAACAGCGGTTTTTTATTTTTATTTGTTATTAGGAAGACGCTGCTGCCCATCTGGTTTATTTCCTCCGTCGCCTAGATATAATATATAGATATAGATATACGAGTCGAGTGTGTTGACGAGGGTTGCGTACCTTATACTCAGAATCACCAAACGGTATTCGTTGTAGGTCATACAGGTTTACGCACCAACCTCGGCACACCCCTATGAGGAGGTGGAGGAAATGTATGAGGATATCTCTAGAGCCATGCATTCCTCCAAAACCCAGTATACGGTGTTAATGGGAGACTTCAACGCAAAACTAGGCACAAGAGAGAACGGTGAGCTGAAGTTAGGGAATTTCGGATTAGGGCAACGGAACCCAAGGGGCCAGCAGCTGACCGACTTCATGGAGAAAGAGGGACACTTTATGATGAACTCTTTCTTCCAGAAGCGGCCCGACAGGAAGTGGACCTGGTCGAGCCCCAACGGTTCGACAAAAATGAGATTGACTTTATTATGAAGACCAGACGACAACTGTTCAGTGATGTCTCAGTGATCTTGAGGGTGAAAACCGGCAGCGATCACAGAATGGTGAGAGGCAGGCTGATCCTAAACGTTAAGTTGGAGAGGTCTCGTCTAATGAAGTCAACGCTCTGACCCCCTCGTGCTCTATTCCAAAATCCCGGAAACTTTCAGCTCGAGCTACGAAACCGTTTTCAGTGCCTAGAAGACTGCAATGAAGTGGACGATATGAATGACAAGCTCGTGGAAACTGTCCATGCGGTCGGAGCTAAGTTTTGCGAGACCCGCCGCAGAAGAACACAAAAACTCTCCGATCACACTCTTAATCTCATGGCTGTTAGACGGGATATGAAGCTACACTCTCCAACAGATTTGACAGCATACAGGCAACTGAACAGACAGATCTCCAAATGCAAGCGGCGGGACTTACGCAACTTCAATACAGCTTGTATTTAAGAAGCGATCGAGCGGAACCAGGGCTCCAAAGTATTTGCCAGAGATCTGTCTGCCAGAAAGAGCCAACTGTCGAAGCTGAAGACCGAGTGTGGCAGCGTCGTTTGTGGGACACCTGAGATTTGAGTGAGATTGAGAGGTTCTATGGGCAGCTGTACACATCATCGTTGGAGCCACTCGCGAGTGTGAGTAACGATCCAAGAGCGAGTCTTATCCGACACTATTCCGATGATATCCCGGACGTCAGTCTGAGCGAGATTAGAATAGCTCTCCAGCATCTTAAAAACGGCAAGGCCCCAGGCGAAGATGGAATTACAGCGGAGCTTCTGAAAGCGCTTTTATACGTGGTAGAGCCATGCTGCAGCTATATTAGTAGTATAGTTGTAGCACGAATGGGTCGGCTCGACCGGGGAAGGACCACGCTCTCACAGAATACCAGCGTAAAATAGCAGCTTAACGCTGCTGTGTTTCGTATGGTGAGTGTAGAGAACCGGAGACCCTTTTTACTGGAAACGAGGCATTTCATCTTAGTCCTCACGGGTGTCAACGCATCTGCATTTTGATTTTTAATCGAAGATAGATGTAGATGTCTATGGGCCACAGCAACCACTTACCATCAGGTGGACTGTGTGCTCGTTTGTCACCTTTACCCTATAAAAAAGCGGATGGAAAACCGGTACTTAAGTCCTTCAGAAGCTCTTTAATTCTGTCCTCCATGGTGGCATTACACCGGAGGCGTGGAGCAGAAGTGCGGTGGTCTTGTTCTTCAAGAAAGGTGACAACGTTCTCTTGAAGAACTACAGACCAATTTCCCTTCTGAGCCGCGTCTACGTGATATTTTCGAGAGTCATTACGAATCGTCTCGCGCGCAGACTTGACGACTTCCAGCCTCCCGAACAAGCCGGTTTCCTACAAGGCTTTAACACCATAGACCACATACATACCCTTCGGCAAATTGTACAGAAGTCCGAGGAATATAATTTGCCACTATGTCTGGCGTATGTATACTATGAGAATGCCTTTGGTGCCGTAGAAATTTGGGCGGTGCTGCAGTCCCTTCAGCGATGCCAAGTTGACTGTCGGTATATCGAAGTGCTGAAGTGTTTGTACAGTAGGGCTACGATGCCTATCCGAGTACAGAACCAGAGTACGAAACCTATCGAATTGCAAGACAGGGTGACGTTATATCCCCGAAACTTCACCACTGCATTGGAAGACGTTTTCAAGCTTCTGGACTGGAAAGGATACGGTATTAACATCAATGGCGAGTACATCACTCACCTTCGATTTGCCGACGATATAGTCCTTATGGCAGAACCGCTGTAGGACCTAAGCACTATGCTCAATGACCTCAATAGTGTTTCCCAACGGATAGGTCTTAAGATGAACATGGACAAAACAAAGATCATGTTTAATGTCCATGTCACACCTATGCCGGTAGTTGTTGGGAGCAATAAAGTGTTATCTATCTATCCGCAGTAGAATTAGAGTAACCGATATAGCCCAACGGTATTAGTAAGCTGAAGTGACAATGGGCCGGCCATATAGCTCGAAGAACCGACAGCCGATGGGGAAAAAAGGTTCTCGAGTGGCGGCTTCGTTCCGGCGGACGAAGTGTAGGGCGTCCCCCCACTAGATGGAGTGACGACCTGGTAAGATATGCAGGAAGTCCATGGATGCAGGTGGCTCAGGACCGTGCTTTGTGGCATTCCTTGGGGGAGGCCTATGTTCAGCAGTGGACTTGTGAAGGGCTGTAATGATGATGATGATGATAGATATAAGAATATCCACTACCCCTTATCATCCCGTGTGTGTCGTAGAGGCGACAGCAAGAAACAAATCAGAAGACTATATTCCTATTCCTACTAAAATAAAAAAAATTGTGTTGCCAACCCGCTTGCCAAGCGTGGCAACTATGGCAAATATCCCCGTATGAGGCAATATATGCGGGAGGCCTATGTTCAGCAGTCGACTTTAATAGGCTCTAACAATAATAAAATAAACGTCGAAACGAAAAAAAGGATAAACATTAGCAATCAATTAAATAAAAAACACATGGTCTGGTCTGTTTCCACTAACTTCCCATTTGTTTCATATTTTAAAGTTCAATTTTTTTGGTTTTTGAATCAGCTTCTTCAGAATAAATGCAGTTTCAATTAGCACAATACAAGGAAGTCAAAGACTTGTGTACTACTCGAGCGGCAATTCAGAATAAAAACCGTGTGACAGCTGTGGATCGCGGGTAGCCGGCACGGTAAATATGCTGGTTACGGTGGCAACCATGGCAACGGCGGGGCAGGGGGTGCTAAGGATCTCCGGTGGAGCTTTGGTTGCCAACTAAGACGACTCCACCTGGCTAGATATAACGCACGTACCCTGACGACCGACGAGGAGATCCTGGAGCTGGAAGAAGAGATAGATAAGTTGCGCTGCAATATTATAGGATTATCTGAGGAGGAGAGGGGAAGAGAGAAAAATGAGGCCTTATCATTTATATGTCATTTATTCAGAAGAAAAACCTATACATAATATACACAAATATATTGATACATTCGTTTTATTATAATATTTTATAATTGTATTTAAGTGATTCTTTGCATATAGAATGTCACTTAAATATAACTTAAACATTTCGTAAAAATCAGCCAAGTACAATTTCTTTCATTTTAATATTGAATGCTGGGTTACTGGGTAAAATAATTGAATTCTAATTGCGGACCTGTCTTTTTGTTATTTTTTATGAGGTTTACTTGACGATAGATGGCGGCCTGTTCCCAAAATTAATATGAAAACTAAATATATTAAAATATTATTTTGGCGATTAAAATTTCTTTGTCTGAATGTATTTGCTTCATGAGATAGACGCTCCGATGCTATGGATGGCATCACATTTCATTTGTAAGTAATTTTACACCTAATTTATTAAAATAGTTCTAGAAAAATCTCTTTGCGTCGGCTTTCAAATATAATTAAATATATTCCACACTAGATGGCGACACTTTGTGTCCTGTTAACTAAAAATATAAAGGTACGTAGAGCTCAGTAATGACAAAATAATCATACGAAGGTGCTGAAATTTGTTTTGCATTCAGATATAAAGAAATTTTAATCGCCAAAATATTATTTTTATAGTTTATAACATTTTGTGGACATGCCGCCATCTACCGTCAAGGTAGCTAAGGTACATTGCAACATCGATATGGAAAGATTCGAGTATTTTTACTATTTATCAGTAGATGTAGATAGTGTAAAGTGGGCGGAGCTTTGCATCCCCTCACCCCGCAAATTGTCACGCCTTGTTACATAGAGAAATTTAATTACAACGTCTCCTCTCTGTATTTGCTTCATGGTACAACCATTTATCGATAAATGAAACAAAGTTTTAAAATTTATAGATTATTATTTATTTTAATCAACATAACATTCTTCTTATTGGGTATTATAACTAGATTTAATCAATCTTAATTTTCATTAATCACATTGAACTTAATCAGCGTTAATTCTCTTCATAAAACTAATCAATATTCAGGAGATGGGCGTGGACCTTGATCTAATATATGTAGCTCGTTTCGAGCGTTATATATCAAATTTGTTATGTCCATATACA